GCTCGAGACTTTAAACTTGATGTAAACGAAATGCTATGGTTTGTTATTTCGACTTTTTAGGGTAGAATTTTTTGGGTTTTTTGAGTTTTTGTTAAAATTTGGGAAAATTGGCCTCTGCTTTGAGTTTATGGCTTTTATTTTTGTTTAGATTTTGAGTTTTGTTACAGTTTTATTTGTTTGTTTTCCTTCAGTTGTCTTCGCTTTTGTTAAAGCTTTGTTTTGGCCTCTGCTTTGTGTTTATGGCATTTTGGGTTAACTTTTGAGTTTTGTTACAGTGTGAGTTTTGTGTTTTCTTTAACATTTGTGTTTGTTTTGTTAAAGCTTTGTTTGTTTGGTTTATTGTAGAAAATGCATTCAAAAATGTCTGCTTCTAAAAGCAAACTGAAGATTGACGGAAAAGGCGTTAGGTTAGATTATGCGAAACGATTGAGGGAGTTGCCCTCAAGCCCTGATTCAGAATCTAATGTAAATGCCCCGGCGCCAGAAGTTGATGATTTTGATTCTGCTGCTCCTCCTAAAAACTTGGAACCAGAGAGCAGTCGGATGACTCGTTCTCAAATGAGAAATACTCCCACTCCAGTTAAATCTTCGAGTGACTTGCCCTCACCCTCTTCTTCTGAAGCGAATAAGCATGTGCAGGCTCCCGATGATGATGATTTTGAGCCTCCTCCTCCTCCAAAAATATTGCAACAAGGGAGCAGTCGAATGACTCGTTCCCAAACAAGTAATAGTCCTACTCCGGTTAACATCGTTAGACTAAGGAGTAAGAAATGCGGCAGACCTGCAAAATCAACAGATAAGCTGAAAGATGATTTGTTTAATGAAGATGATGTAGTCCGCAATGTTAAACGGAAAAGGAGAAAGATGAAGGATGATGGTGAGAGTTGCCTTGATTTACAATCGAGAGAACAAAGGGTCGTTATTCGCTTGAAATTGAATAAGAGAAAAGCTAAGTTGAAGGTATTCCCTGTTTTGCTATTTATTTATACATGCTTATACAGTTTTATACAAAGTTATACATCTGTTTATACATCTTTATACAAGCACTGCTATACTTGTATATACAGTCTTATAAAATGTTTTAGTATATTTTTTGTTCTTGATCTATTTCTTGTTATTTTCCTATATCCAAGGTTGGGGACTTCTATATACAACCAGTTGATTATTTCCACAACAGGATTAGTTCCCATACCGAGCCTGATATTGTGAACATTTTGAAGCAATGTTTGACTGACACGCAACTTCAAATGTTCCGTGCTAGTTGTCTTCCTGGACCTCCCTCAATTTAAAACTCAAAATCAACTTATTCATTGTATATTATTGAGGGAAGTCGTCCCAGGACGTGAAAGGGAGTTGTGGGTGAAGATTAATGGTTGTTTGCTGCGTTTTGGCATTAGAGAGTTTGCTCTTATCACTGGTTTGAAGTGTATAGACGACGACGCCATTTTCTATGACAAACCAGATGTTAATAGGTTGCTGAAAGAGTATTTTCCAGGAGATGGAAAAAAGGCCATAACAAGGGGGGAGCTTCTTGATCGCTTCAAGCAAAAGGAGTGGAAGTCGGATGAAGATGCATTCAAGATGGCCTTGATGGTGTTTGTCCATCATTTCATCTTCTCTGATGCCAATAATCATGGTATCACCAAAGATGATTTTGATATCATTGAAAGTGGCCAATATAAGATGTTTCCTTGGGGAAAAAAGTCATTTGAAGATGTTTTAAGGACAATGAGGGACATGCAATGCGATTATTTGACAATGTATAGGCTTGGAGGTTTGCCGCTTGCTTTACAGGTTTGGTTTTTTGAGTGTTGCTCAATGGTTGATAAGAATCTAGCTGTTCGCGTTGGCACAAATGTGCCACGCATTCTTAATTGGAAAGTGACTAACACTCCATCATATGCGGATTTGACTGGCGGCGTGATCATGTGTAGTGTCGACAAGGTAAACATTTTGTACCATAATACTTCTTCATATATGATTTCAGTTTTTCTGTATTTTTCTACTATTGTAATCCTGTTTTTTTCTTCTTGTAGTTGAACTATAGTAACATTTCCCCTACTTCTGAAGAGATGTCAAGTCTGAACATCGACACACTTTTTGAAGTCAATGCCGATGATGTTGCATCAGGGGAGGTGCCTGTTGTTCCTGCCTCTCACACTGATGATTTTGTTGCTGCACCTTCACCTTGTCCTCAGCATATGGAGCAACAGTCTACACGACCTTATCCTCAAAATGCAGAGCAACAGTCTAAACGACCTTGTCCTCAGACTATGAATCCACAGCCTAATCCAAGTTATGATCCTTTTGTGCGTCTTGATCTTTTGAATGATGAAGTTGAGAAGCTGAGGAGTGATGTTGGAAAGGTACTTGACCTTTAGCTTTTCTGTAGTTTATAATTACTTTTTGGTTATAAACATGGTTGTTTATTTGCTTTTGTTGTAGTTGACTGATACAGTGACGACACTCAACAACTATGTCGTTTCTTCCTTTGAAAAAGTGTTCAGTTTTCTGAATATGAAGGAACCCAAGCAAACGAGGGAGGATTTTACTGATTCTAAGGTAATTGTTTACTGATAAAACCAAATCACTCAACAGTTATGCCTTCTCTGAACTCAACATGCCTTCTCTTTCTATTGTTTTTTATTAGATTCATCAGCCCGTGTTTGATGACAATACATCTGGTCTTGGCGAATTTGATGGCTATCAATATGATGCTGTTCCTAACTTTGTCAATCAAATGAATCAAGATAATGTGGTAGCTGACGAGGGAGTTACTGATGGTGTTGATAATGGTATTTGTTCTGCTTTCTTTTTTTTTGGTCTGATTTTTCTTTTCTTCTTTTTGAAGTTTTGTATTATTTGTGTTTCTATGTCTAAGGGGCAGCAGGTGATGTCAAGGGTGACACATTTTGGGATGACATTGGTGATGAAGATTTAGCTCATATGTCCCAACTTGTGGTTCACAAACAATCCATCATAGAAGTAGAAGATGATTACATTTCTCCTGACCATTCAGTTCGACAGAAAATACCAGGAAAATATGCCAAATCTCCATATTTGCCAGTTTTTGATTCTGGAGCATCAAAATCGGCGCCCAAGCTCATTTTTGATATCAAGCATCCTTTCACGATCGAAATTGATGATTTTGATACATTGTCGCCATTGGCTAAAGAGTTTTGCGCATTTGTTGATAATGGGATGGATACGAGGCGAAGGTATCTTCACTTTCTTCAATCTTTCATGTTCTGATTTTATACTTGTCAATGAATGTAGTTCTGATTACTTTTTATTTTTTGTGATTTGAAATGCCAAACATATATATCCCGATGAAGTAAATAATCTTGCAGAAGGTTTTACTTTTGGCTTGTGTTATGTGACCAAGAAGGATTGGTTCCACTCACTTGCATATTGTGGTCGACCTTTGATTGACACGGTATTTTAATAAATTTCTGTTCTAATTCCCTTTTTATTTTTGTTGCATATCTTTGTTATTTTGAGACCCCCATAGTGTATGCATAGCTTTGTATAATCACAGTATAAGATTGTATAACCTTGTATAAATATGTATACCTATGTATAATAGTGTATAAACTTCTATATTTAAAAAATCTGGTAGTGATGGTTGTTCTGTTTTATTTCTTGTCTCAGCACTTGGATGTCCTCTTTTATTATTTGAGGAAGAGGGGAAAATATGGGTCGAGTGTTGCCATGCGGTTTACTACAACCAACTTTGCCTTTGGTAACAAAATCAACTCCCTATACAAAGATTTCAAAGTGAATCAAGATCCTTCAGTGATTCCTGACGGGCATGAGATAGAAGAGTACATCAGAGGTTATTATTGTGATGCAAATGTCCCGTGGCACACTGTTGACCACGTCTTATTCCCTATCTTTGTGAAGCGCGGAAGAGCAAAATTGGGACATTGGGTTTTGGGGGTGTTTACGTTCGTAGATAGATGCATCCACATCTATGACTCTAACCGTGGGGCTCTTAATGATAGACTTGTTTTGGATGCTGCATTACCTTATGCAATTCTGATACCTTACTTCTTGAAGAGTTCTGATTTTTATGTCGAGAAGAAGGGCATTGATTGGAACAATGGTGCATATACCGATAAATCCCATTCTGATGCTTTGCAGATTAATCTGGTTAATAATGTTCCCCAACAGATCAAATGGTAGGTTAATCTCAATTGTTTTACTATTTTACTATTAGTGTACCTATTTGAATCTGATTCGTTTCTTTTTAATTACAGTGATTGTGGTGCTTTTGTTGCTGGCTTTGCTGAGTATTTCATCCTTGGTAAAGAAATTCGAAAGGATAATTTTGACATTGAGACACTTCGCACCAGGTGGGGATCTCTGTTATGGGATTATGGAAGGAAAAAACAACAGTCTGGTGCAATTAGTGATGATGAAGTCACAGGGAGACTTTTGAAGAAGAGGAAGAGGGGGCGACCAAGAAAGTAGTTCTGTTATTTTCATTTTACTGTAGTTTTTCTATGTATAAGGAGTTGTTGCCTAGTTTTGTAACTATTCTGCTACTTGTGAGATAACCTTAAAGGATATTATAGATGTTTTTTTTATTTTTGTGTAATTTGAGGCAGTCATTACACATTGTTGCTGTGAATGAATTACATTTTAATGAATATTTTCAGTTGCTTTTGTCCTTTAACAAAGTATGTATTTTCATTATGGTTGCAGTTTTGTTAATGTAGCAGGTTTTATACATATGTATACAATAATATACATAGTTATACAAATTTATACAAACTTATACTCTCATTTATACATCTGTATACATGTAATACCAGTGATTGTTTGCAGTCCTGTTTTGTATTTCTACAATCTATCAATATATTTAGTACCATTAAAAACAGGAAGACACAATTATTGGATAAGCAAAACATGTATAATGAAACATGTCAATTGCTTGTGAAACTTAACTAATCAACATTTATAACTCTATTGTTTGTGAAACTTAACTACTCAAGTGACAACAAATGTAATAGGAAGCGTTTTGTTTCCAACTATTTATTTTGGTCGATTCCTACATGTTTTCCTATTGTGACCACCTTGTCCACACACAGAACACGAAAATGCCCTCTTAGACTCTTTCTCTGAAGCAGGCTTGAGTCTTTCCTTTCTTGGCCTTCCTGCATTCCTTCTCCCTTTAGGTGGTAGGACCACATCTTCCATCACCTCTGTTGGGATTACCCATAAACTCTCATCTGGCATCGGATTCACTGGAAATTCATAAGTGCTAAGGAGTTTATCCTTCTTGTAGTAAAAAGAGCAATACTGGCCAGGTTTCAGCTGCTGGTTCTTCAAAACCGCCCAAGCATGCGGACATGGAAGTTCATCCATTTGAAATTTTCCACAACTGCATGTTCCCTCTTCAAGGCACACTATGTTTCTCCTTACCCCTTCAAGCACAGTATATAACTGATCCGTAGCAAGCCTCACCTGCAAAAGTTTTTTTTTTTTTAAAAAAAATTTAAAGAACATTATACATTATTATACAGAGTTATACATCCTTATACAAGCAGTAAAATGCAAGTCAGAAGTGCCAAGATTCATTATATTTGATTCATTTTACCGTCATTTGCTCCGATGCAATCAGATTTTCCCGAAGGAGTTTGTCGTACTTTTCGCCAAGCTCTGTAGATTTCTCCATTGCACTTTTTCTGTTTTTGTTGTTCCACTGTTGTAGCAAATTTGTCATGTACTCCAGCAATCGCATTACTGGTAACTCTCTAGCATCCTTGTTAGCTGCATTAATTGACTCTGCAATATTGGAAGTCATTACCATCGACCTTTTCACCTTGGAATATGCTCTAGACCACCTTTCGTACCCAATTTCGAACAAGTAAGGCTGCACCCTCGGATCAATTTTGCACAACTCTGTCATATGGTACTCAAACTTCTCGATCGTGTAAGCTCTTGCCAAAGCAAAGAAGATATCCTTCAATTGTTTGTGATGTTTCTTGAATGTGCGCTTTACATTCTGCCACAAGTGAAACATGCAAATACAATATGGTACTTCTGGGTACACAACTTTTGTGGCATTGAAGATGCTTTCATTTCTATCTGAAACTATACACAGCCCTTCCCTAACTCCAAAAGTACCCTTTATCTGGACAAAGAACCACTCCCAAGATTTGTTATTCTTTGAATCCACAATGAAGGATTTTTCCTGTTTATACAAAAATAGATATTAGGATTCAGACTGCAAATTAGTCTGCAGATACCAAGTGCAAATTTTATACAAATCTTATACAAAGTTATACACAATTATACAAATTTATACCAACTACAAATTTTATAAAAACAGCAGCTGTGAAATCCTATACACTTTTATACATGAAACTAAAACATTATACAAATTGCAGAAACAACGTAGATGCAGTCAACTCACCAGCTCCATCTTGTGTGCAAGCAGTCAATATGGTACCCTTATATGCTGCTTTAAGGAAGCTTCCGTCAATAACTATTATCGGTCTGCAATGCTCCCAGCCCTTGATAGATGCATATAGCGAAACATATGCATAAAGAAAGCATCCATCTTCTGATTTGTGCAACTTTGTAACCGTTCCTGGATTTGTTTGCTCCAACATATAAAAATACTTCGGCAACTCCTTATATGAATCACTCGGACTCCCTCTTATCATTGCCATTGCTATTTCTTTAGCTCTCCATGCTTTCATGTAGCTCACTTCAATCCCGTGTTGCTTTTGTATGTCCTCTATTATATCATTTGCGGTGTAAACTTTTTTTGGATTAACATACTTGTCCTTGACTATACTAGCAATTATACCCGAAGTAGCTTGACGTTGTGTTAAGTATCTTTCACCATAGCCGCATGTGTGATTATTATTGTAACTTCTCACTTTGAATATGTTTGCCTTGAAAACGGCAGAAGATTTGAAACTCCAAGCACAATTGTCATCCAGACATGTAAGGTGATACCTAGTATTATACATCATTCAACTTCTAAATACACTTGTATACAAACTGCATATATACTAATTTTAATACCTATATACAAATATATACTACTTTATACATATTTATACAACAGAATATACAATTAATGACATACCTTGTTGCGCTTGATCTCTTCACCTTGAATTGGAACCTCTCGCGTACAGCCAAGTTCTTCATCACATTCATAAGTGTCTCTTTATCCTTATAAACTTGATCCTCCTCAACAAATTCGTTCAACATATTATCTATTATACCCGTATTTTCACTAAATTTCGTGTTTTCAATCAATTCAATATCAATAATCTCAGTGCTATCAGTTGTTGATACATCTCTAGAATTTGAATTTGTAGCAACCAAACAACTGGAACTTGAAGCAACCACAGAACTTGTAACAACCAAATGATTTTCATAAATCTCTTTCACTGTCACAAACAGGGGATATTCAGTGAAATTCAAGTTTTTCTTCTTTAATTCTATATACACCTTAACTCCTGTATCGTTGTAAATCATGATCGGTGGCAAACCAACATTTGGGACAAAGTTAATCTCTATTGTGTTTAAATCACTATCGATCCTAATCTGTTCCGAAATAGCTGCAACTAAATTGTTGTAGTTGAATGTGGACTCGATTATTACACAATCACTGACGAAATTTACAAACTTGTTTTCTTCCCATTCACCACTATGAAGAAGGTAAGCAGGAAAAATCTCCATCTAACAAAAAATTGAAATCAAAATTGCAGCAAAAGGAGAATTGCGCTGCTTCGTAGCAAAAAAATTGAATAAATTCTAGATGAAGAAGAAATGCTAGGGTTTTCGTACCTGCATTTATCGCAGGATCTCGTTTTTGAAGTATTTGGGGGAAGAAGATTGGAAAGAATCTGAGAAAATCCAGCTGAATGAGAGAAAATCGCGTTTGGTAGTCTCAAAATACCGGAAATAACGCCCCCTTTTCAGATATGGGCCTCTAATTTGTGGGCTACTCAATTGTAAAGTTAAATATGGGCTATAAAGTTGAAAAGGAGGCAGCCCACTTGTTTTAATGTGAAATTTTCCCTTGGTTTTCCCCGACCTTGCACTACAGTCGTTAGAGCTAATATGTCCGAGAATGTTGATTCCGGTGAAATTTTTTCCTGCTGTTTTTCTTCTTCTTTTTTATTTGAATTTTACATTGTTTATCCTGAGATTGAAATTTATGTATTAACAAAAAAGTGTGAAAAAAGAAGGAAAAATGAAAATAACATCTGAAATTGGTGTTTGCAGCATATATAGGTTTTATATACTATATTAAAAAGCATGAAGACCCTTAGCGAAATGTCGTTCGCCTTTTTTACCCCTTAAAATCAGATTTTATATTGGGTAGAATTGTCATTTAATAATTTTTCCTAATTTTTAGGACTTTGAAATACACTAGAATTTTAATTTTAAGTGTTTCCTTATTTAAACTATGTAAAAAGTTCTAAAATTGGAGTTTCAATATCAAATAAAATTTTACCAAATCGATTGAACCAAATACTATTTGATTTCCCCTTTAATTGTCGTTCGTTTTTGTGCGTGTTTATGTGACTTTCTTTTTCTAATTTTTGCCGTAGGTTTTTTCTTGCATTATCTTTTTCTTGATTCCAAGAATATTATTTTGTTGTGTCAAGAGTCAAGATGACTCATTAATTCATTAGTTTATATTTTATGACTTATTTATTTTCATTTTAGTCATGTCCTTGAATTTTTTTCTTATTTTAGTAGTCTATTACTAATTTCTTTATTTAAATTTAGTCCTATATGTTGTTACTTTTAATCCAATCAATTACGATTCAGACCCAATAAATCAGGCAAAAATGAAGAAGAGTATTTTTGAGTAAGCTTATAAGTTATATAAGTTAATTTTACTTAACATTCAACTAATTAGTCAATGTAATAAGCAAATCTTAGTACCCGCCTTACACATATATAAGATAAAAAATTTATTTTTAATAAGAGTTGTGTATATGTTTTGTCTCACTTATAATAGGAATAAGATATGATTGTATTATGTGATCGATCACGTGGATGAAATACTTTAGTAAAACATCGCATGTAGAGTAAGATACGATTGAGATATCATTTATCAGAATAGTTAGTATTTGACGAGTTGTGATGCCTAATGTGATTATTAAGGCATGATTAGAATAAGGATACAAGTTTTAGCATTCTCATAAACTAAGAAAATATGAATAAAACCTTTTCAATTGTCAGACTCAGATAATTATAAATTAATATGGCATAAACGCACGTTACGTAAATAGGTCCGATATCTGAAATCAAACGACATCCTTATCTTTCAATCAAATATTACTCCTACAATATTTTTATTTAATAAAGCAACTAATGGAAACGAACTGGAAAAGAACCACTAGGCTGGATCCAAACCCTTAAACATAACGATTAGAATTTGTCAAGTTGGGATGCCTAATGTGATTACTAACACATGATTAAGTAAAATATGGATAAAACCTTTTCAATTATTGGTAATGCATAATATGGCATAAGTACATGTATGTCTAGCTTGGTCCCATATGTATAAATGAAACGACATCTTTACCATTTAATCAAACACTACTCCTATAATTAACATATGATTATTTATTATTTCCAGGAATTTGTAATTTTTTTCATTTTTATTTTATTAACAGTAGAGACTACATATTTATAGTATTATTTAATGTTATTNAGCAAAAAGGAGAATTGCGCTGCTTCGTAGCAAAAAAATTGAATAAATTCTAGATGAAGAAGAAATACTAGGGTTTTCGTACCTGCATTTATCGCAGGATCTCGTTTTTGAAGTATTTGGGGGAAGAAGATTGGAAAGAATCTGAGAAAATCCAGCTGAATGAGAGAAAATCGCGTTTGGTAGTCTCAAAATACTGGAAATAACGCCCTCTTTTCAGATATGGGCCTCTAATTTGTGGGCTACTCAATTGTAAAGTTAAATATGGGCTATAAAGTTGAAAAGGAGGCAGCCCACTTATTTTAATGTGAAATTTTCCCTAATTTTTAAGCTGAATCAAATTTTTAACTGGTAGGGGTAATTAGAGACAAAAGTATAACAGTAGGGTCATTAGTCTTAAACGAAAAGAAGATGTGACTTATTTCTCATAGTACATGAGAAAATATGATATAACTTACACAAATGTCCTAAATAAGTCTCAACTTACCATCCTTTAGCCATTAGTCTTAGCAAAACTAGCCAAGTACATATAAAAATTGAAAAACCAAATAAATAAGGTTCTTTCTCTCAAAGAATCACATGCAAACATTAGATGCAATACGGAAAGGAAATTTCATGGATGAGGCAGCAAATAAGGTGATGAAATACAAAATATATATATATATATATATATATATATATATATATATATATAATATTCTAAAAATCTAAGTAAAAAGGAACTTATTCAATAGGTATAGTTGAAATTCATTGAAAACATACAGATAAGTCAATATACAAAATTTGAGGAAGATTGGAGGTGCTTTGGACTGGTTTTGTATCAAAATTCGTAATTAAATCGAGTTCGAAAAATTCTTCTGCGACACATGTATCAAACATGTATCTCACACACAGATATACATGGATATACATGTGATACACATTTGATACAAATATGATACATATGTGATACACAAATGATACACATATCATTTTTTTAATGTTCAGTTTTTACTTTGAATTTTCAATTCAAACCACCTCAAAACTTCACCAAATCATCCAAAAACTGAGATTCAAGCTCCTTAAGATGTACCAAATCTATTCTAATAACACCACTCAAAGAAAGCAAAAATTTACCATTTTTTGTCTACAAATAGCTAATTGGCCAATATTAGTAATATTTTTTGAATTGGCCAATTTTTGTAATGAACTACTTATAAATGGACATAGCTCGTAGTTTCCCTATTTTTTTTCGAAACTAAAATTTCTCGATAACCTAACCATAACCAGACCCGGCCACTCAACCCAGCTGGTAAGGGGCAGGCCAGTCGTAGATTCAAACCCTGCCACCTTTCTTGT